GCCGAATTTTCCAACTACCAGTGATTCTTCTTTGTTTCCAACTTTTGCATTCCAGTCACCAGTGATAATTAACACATCCTGATTGCATGTTTGGTTAATTTCAGACTGCAGAAGTTGATAAAAATCTTCAATTTCCTCAACTTTGGCTTTAGTAGTTGGTGCATAAATTTGAATAATAGTTATATTAAAGGGTCTTCCTTGTAGGCGTATGGATATTATCCTATCACTGATAGCATTGTACTTCAGGATAGATCTTGAAACATCCTTTGTGATGATAAATGCCACGCCATTCCTCTTCAAACTATCATTCCCGGCATAGTAGATCACATGGTTGTCTGATTCAAAATGGCCAAACCAGTCCATTTCAGCTCACTGATGCTGAGGATATCAATCTTTATGCATTCCATTTCGTTATCGATAACTTCCAACTTTCCTAGATTCATACTTTGTCATTCCATGTTCCAATGATTAATGGATATCTGCAGCTGTTTTTCTTCAATTTGAGTGGTGCCACATCAGCAAATGGAGGTCTCAAAAGCTTTAGCTTATCCATAGGAGTAAGGCTGGGTTTACTCAGGTGATGCAGCTCTTTCCCACTCCTATTTTGAGAGCCTTCTAACTTATACTGACTATTCATAAATGGTTTGGTAAAGTATCAAATATTGTTTCTTTGCTATTCATAATATTTTCCCTGGCCAATTATTTGTGAAGTGGATGGCCCCTTCCTTCTTCCTAGTCTGTCTCAGTCTGTAAGCTGGGTGATATCTGTGCACCATGTGCATCCACTGGATTTGAAACACCAATGGCTCAGCCGCAAAACTCACAGAAACACGTCACCACAGTAGGACAAACTGACAGACATGTTTGTCTCCCTGTTGGAAACCTCTCTTACCACCCTTACCTGGGTCCCTGCAGCTGACTCCTCCTCTGTCTGGATTCCTGGGCCTTTTAATCCCCTTTCTCTTGCTCTCCCACCCTGGTGCTTTGGGCTTGCCTGTGTTCTCTCTCCTCACCCGGACCCTGTGGCTGACTACTCCTCTGTCCAGGTTCCTGGATTTTAATCCCCTCTTTCCCCTCTACCATCCGGCTGCTTTGGGCATGCCTAGGTTCTCTCTGCTTCCCTGGATCCCTGCCGCTGACTGCTGCTCTCTCCAGTTCCTAGCTTTTAATCCCATTTTTCCTGCTCTCCCACCCTGCTGCTTTGGGCATGCCTGAATTCTCTCTCCTCACCTGGATCCCCGCAGCTGACTGTTCCTCTGTCCAGGTTCCTAGCTTTTAATCCCCTTTCTCCTGCTCTTTCGACCTGTTGCTTTGGGCATGCCTGAGTTCCCTCTCCTCACCTGGATCCTTGCCTATAGAATCCTTCAATATTGAGATTCAAAATGGAGTATCATCAGTAAGCACGATGCTATTTCCCTCTAGCATCTAAGTGCTTGAAAAACTAGGTACAACAGCTTGAATTAAGGATTTTGGTGCTCTGAACAACTCACTGAATCAGAGTGCACCAAACACAGAAGAGCAGAATTAGAGGAAAGACACTGGGAGATTATTTAAGAAAGTGCTACCTGGCAGAGGACAGACAGGCAGCAGAGAGAGGCCATTGGAAACTTCCCTGGGGCAGTCACTGACTGGCGGGTGAGCGTGGCCACCTGAGATCCCCAATGAGCCAAGAAAGAAGACACCCTATATCAGCATACCAGTGACCACTCCAAT